AGAGAGAGAGAGAGAGAGAGAGAGAGAGAGAGAGAGAGAGAGAGAGAGAGAGAGAGAGAGAGAGAGAGAGAGAGAGAGAGAGAGAGAGAGAGAGAGAGAGAGAGAGAGAGAGACTTGTATGGGCTCACTTATCACATGCACCAATTATGTATATCAACAGATAAGACTATGTATATAACTTAGTATATAAAAGGGGATTCAGGGTCAATAGTTCTCACGTCAGAGAATAATAACAACACACACACGCACATACAAAGAGAGAGGCAGCCAGACACAGAAGTTAATGATAATCACTTCCTTTGTAAGACAGACAACGTGAAATATATATTTGTAAGTACATACTAGCGGAAAGTAATGATAGTGATGATAACGATGATAATAACGATGATAACAATAGTAACAACAATATCAAGAGCAACAGAAAAAGAACAAACCAACAACAATGATAGTAATGATAATAATATTAATACATTTAAAATACATTCAAATGATAGATGAAATATAACTGCGAGGTCCGACCCGATGAATATTCCTTATACGGACATGCATATGCACATAAATAAATGCATATCTATTAGTCTAGACAAGCATTTCTACCAGAGAGATAGATAAATAAATGTATATATATCAGACAGATAGACAGATATTCATAATTTCCTGTATGTACATATCTGTATATGTGAATATTAACGGGTTCAGGCCTCGCACAAGTTTAACAAATTGTCTGGAAGTAAATAAAATATCATAGTCCTCCTAAAATAAAAACCGTTTTCTATGATGATTTAGTTTTGTTTTGCAGATGGCGCTGCGATCGGAGACTCGGAAAACTAATTATTCTTTGAACTGCGATAGAACTGGACAGGTTACAGCTATATGTGTTAAGATTAATAAGTTATATTTAATCGACCGTGCCAAAAAGCTGATAGGCATTTGGATATCTTATCACAGGTAACTGTTCCATTTGAGAAGTACGACTCGGATTTATAGATTAGGTATAAATAGATAGAGGCAGTAGATAGATAGAGATAGAGACAGATGAATAGAGATGGATAGATAGATAGACAGATGAATAGATAGATAGATAGATAGATAGAGAGAGCGAGAAGGGAGAGAAGAAGAGAGAGCGAGAGGGGGAAGAAAGAGAGAGGGAGAGAAGAGAAGGGGAGAGAAAGAGAGAGGGGAGAGAAAAGAAGAGAGAAGAGAAGGAGAGAAAGAGAGAGGGAGAGAAAAGAGAAAGAGAGAAGGGAGAGAAGAGAGAGGGGAGAGAAGAGAGAGAGAGAAGAGAGAGAGAGAAGAGAGGAGAGAAAGAGAGAGAGAAAAGAGAGAGGGAGAGAAAGAGAGAGGGGAGAGAAGAGAGAGAGAGAGAGAGAGGAGAGAGAGAGAGAGAGAGAGAGAGAGAGAGAGGAAGAGAGAGAGAGAGAGAGAGAGAGAGAGGAGAGCCGAGAGCGAGGGGGAGGAGAAAGAGAGCGAGAGGGGAGAAGGAGAGAGAGCGAGAGGAAGAGAAAGAGAGAGAGCGAGAAGGGAGATCGATAGGTAGATAATAGATAGATAGATAGATAGGATAGATAGATAGATAGATAGATAGATAGATAGATAGATAGATAGATAGATAGATAGAGAGAGGAGAGGAGAGAGAGAGAGAAAGAATGAGAGGCGAGAGAGAGAGAAAGAGTGAGGAGGGGACAGAGAGGAGAGAGAGGGGTGTGAGAGTAAGAGAGAGTGAGAGGAGAGGAAGGAATGAGAGGGACAGAGAGAGAGAGAGAGGGAGTGAAGATTAAAGAGAGAGTGAGAGGAGAGAGAGAAAGAGTGAAGGGGAGAGAGAAAGAGTGAGAGGAGACAGAGAGAAAGAGTGAGAGGGGACAGAGAGAAAGAGTAAATAGGGACAAGAGATGAAATAGAGAGAGAGAGAGAGAGAGAGAGAGAGAGAGAGAGAGAGGGAGAGAGAGAGAGAGAGAGAGAGAGAGAGAGAGAGAGAGAGAGAGAGAGAGAGATAGAGAACAGAGAGAAAGAGTAAGAGGCAGAAGAGAGAGAGAGAGAGAGAGAGAGAGAAGATAGATAGATAGATAGATAGATAGATAGATAGATAGATAGATAGATAGATAGATAGATAGAGATAGGAGAGAGAGAGAGAGAGTCAGGCAGACGGAGATTAGATGATAATCACTTGCATCGTAAGGCTGTTCCACTACACAGCCATGTATGATACACATTTTTAAGTACATACTCTCGGAAAATAATGATGATGATAATGATTATGATAAGAACAATAATAACAATGATAATAACAATAACGATAACAACAACAATGCTAACAGTGATGATAATAATGATAATACATTCAGCATAATGACATTCAAATAATGTGCAGTTAAAATTGGGCGACCCAACCCAATAAACATTAACCATATGGACACGCATGCACAGGAATAGATATATATCTATTAGAGTAGACACGCACATCTATCGGATAGACAGACATAAATATAGGCCAACAAACTGC